ACCCGCACCAGCCCTCGGCACGGGGCCGCTGCGTTCCCTGGGTGTCCCCAGCTCGGTCTGCTCGGTGCCCGAGCTGCTGCACCGGTACCGGGCACCGCCGGCACCGGGACAAGGGGCTGGGGGCACACGCGCACACAGCGGCCCCAGGGAGGGCACAGCACCTGCCCAGGCCGGCACGGAGCTGTCCCTGCCCCGGCAGCCCGGTGTTCATCCCCTGCGCAGGAGCTGCTTCAGCCTGAACGTCCCTCGTACCCACAAGCCACTCCTGCGCCACTGCCAGCAGTTACCCCCCGGCCCTCGCCCTCTCCGCCGTCTCCTCAGCTCCCTGGAACATCCCTCAGCCGGATGGATGAGCCCATGACTCATGCGACCTTTCCAACGAGCCCCAGAACACACTTACCTCTGCAGCTCGGGCTCCTGAGAGGGCCGCGGTGAGACGGGAGAGCGGCTGATTTACACGGTGCCGTGTGCCTCCCCAGCCCTCATCTGCATGCACTCACATGGAAATACTAGTTATTTACTCCAAAACGGCAAACAGAGAATTATGAAGGCGCTGAGAAATTAAGAATGCGGAAATTAAGCAGCTCCTCACCCTGCAATCAGGGCTGGTTGCGCTCCCCAGGCAGGGCGCGCTGATTGCGGCCCCGCCGCCTCCCGCCCCGGCTCCCCCGGGCTCCCGGCTCCGGATCGCCCTGCTGCATTCCCCGCTTCCCCACGGCCCCGTGCCTGCTTCCCAGCAGGCTGGAGGCGGCGCAGCTCTGCCCAGGCTCTGGGCACGCAGCTCCTGCTTCCCAGCGCTTCCATCTGGAGAGGCAGAGCTGGGAGGGGACGCGGCCCTCTGGGGAGTGGGGGCACAGGGCCTGGGGTCAGCAGTGCCCACCCGCCCTGTGTCACAGGGGGTCTTCTGGGCATTTCTGAGGAGGGGTTATCGCTTGTCAGTTTTGGGGAGAGAACCACCGTGTGCGCTGGCGGAGGCACGCATTGGTTCCCAGGTCACACCTTGGTGTCACAGACTGGACGCCGGGATGAGCCCTGGGCATGGCCGCACTGGGACACTGGGCAGAGAATCACAGAACCCAGAATGGTTTGGGCTGGAAGGAATCCTACAGCCCATCCAGTGCCACCCCTGCCATGGCAGGGACACCTTCCACTGTCCCAGGCTGCTCCAGGCCCTGTCCAGCCTGGCCTGGGCACTGCCAGGGATCCAGGGGCAGCCCCAGCTGCTCTGGGCACCCTGTGCCACCCTCCCAGGAAAGAACTTCCTCCCAATATCCAACATAAATCTCTCCTCTGTTAATTCACGGCCATTCCCTCTTGTCCTGTCACTACCTGCCTGTGTAAAAAGTTGCTCCTCATGGTTTTCCCAGGCCCTGGTCCTGAGCAATCCCGTGGGCACCGTGCAGGTGGCTCAGGGCACAGGGAAAGGCCGAGTTCTGTGGGACACCTGCCTCACACCGCCCCTGATGCTGCCAGCCCTGCCACAGCGCCTGACGCCAGCGCCCTGCCCGGCCCGCGCAGAGGCAGCAAAGATACCTCCCACCCACAGCTGAGGGGCTGCAAATTGCGTTGTGAGTGGGGGATTTTGCAGCCTTAATTGTGTTATTTTAACACAGCGTGTGTAGGTGTGAGCAGAGTGCACATGTACCGTTTCCTAGGCTTTGAACAAAGCGAGCTCAAACAGAAGCAAAGTCCATGTCAGATCGTGTTGGCCCCTGTGGGGCTGGAGGTGGGGACACCCCTGCACTCCTCTCCCTGCTCCATGAATGGGGTGTCAGCTCCAGCAGCGAGCTGGGAGCTCTGGGCTCCCCAGGGGTTTGCTGAGGTTTGGGACCAATGAGAATTTGGTGACCTTGGCGTCCTGCTCTGCAGCTCACACTGCAGGGTCACAGCCTGGCACCCTGACCAGGGCAGCCTGGGCTCTCCAGCTCCATCTCCATCTCCTCTTCCTGTTCCCTGCCCTGTCCATCGTCATCTCCTGCTCCAGGACCTGGACCCCACTGCACTGGGCAAAGTAGAAACACATAAAAAACCCAGCCCACACTGCAAAGATTGTACAACTCTTGCAAGAAAAAGGCTGTCCTTGCAGGCAAAAATGTCCTAACCCGAGTTCTGTTAGGCTTTGTCCTCCCAAATCCAGCGATGAAAGCTCTGCTGCATTTAAATTGGCAAAGTGACAGGAAGTCAGTAGTCAGAAATAATCCCTAGCTGGATTAGGTTTTTCCTTGAAGGAAGAGCGGCTGAGACAAGGCGAGTTTGGGTCATTAGCGATGCAGGGAGGTGCTCCAGCCCTGCCCAGCCTTCACTCCCTGCTCCCGGGGGCTGCGAGGGGATGAGGACTCCGGAGCCTTGGGCACATGTGCTCATCCTTCCCCACTCCCACGAGGGGATTATTTATATCTGCACCGCTTTGGAAGCGCTGGCTGCAATCCCCTGGCTCCAGCAGGGCTCCAGTGGTGAGGCCGGGCTGTCCCTGTGTGAGGAGCTGCCAGGGGTGCCAGCGATGCCACTCGTGCCACACCACCGGGCCCGTGGCACGAGCAGCTGGCTCAGTGCAATTCCCTACCAGCTCTGCTCTCCCTGCTGGATTTCCGACAGTTGAGCAGCAATAAAAATAGCAGGGCAGGAACAGAAATTCATTCTGATTAAGCCTCTTTATTCTGGGAGATGCTGGGGGAGCAGGGGTGGCCGTGTGTGGGCCGGCCCCACGCACCTTCCGGGCTTGGGCGGCCGCTCTGGCAGCAGCTGTGCCCAGATCCGGCTGTTTGCCCACACTTGTGATGTTCCCCCAGCGTTTTCCCCTCTGTGCTGGCACTGACTCCCTGACAGAGGGGCAGCCAGGTGGGGCTCAGTCCCTTCTCCCAGGGAACGAGGGACAGGACAAGGGAAACAGCCTCGATTTGTGCCAGAAGGTTTAAATTGGATATTTGGGGAAATTTCTTCACTGAAAGGGCTGCCAGGTGGCAGAGTCCCCACAACTGGAGGGGTTTAAAAGCCGTGCAGATGTGGCACAGGGGATCGTGGGGCAGTGGCGGCTCGGCAGTGCTGCAGGAGCAGTTGAACACGATGGGCTTAGAGAGCATTGCCAACCTGAGTCGTTCCATGATCCTTCCATTCCCTGGGCAGACAGAACAAGCAGAGGACATGGAAAGGGATGGCACAGGACAGCAAGCATTGTGGCAGTGCCCCTGGGCTCCCATGGCCAGCAGCTCCCCATCTTCCCAAAGAGAACCCCTTACCCAAGGTCAGACAGAGAGCAGCCCGTACATGGGATGGGTGGAAGGATGGACAGGGAACAAAGGCATCTGTGGGCAGTGGTAGCCCAGAGGCAATAAAAGAACAAATAGCAGAAGATTAAACCCATTCTGCAGTCAGGTCCAGCCGGACCACGCTGAGCCACGAGGAAAGGTTCGCTGCTGCTCCAGCCTGCCACAATTTAATTGATTTGATTTAAATCCTTTGAAGAAGAAGTGGATAAGGAATAATGAGGCAAACAGGATTGTAATGCAAATGAAAGAGATGAAAGATGGCTTCGGGGAGACGCTCTTGAAGGTCAGCGCCCAACGCAGAGCTGCTGCTGGTCACTCGGTCCGGCACTAACGAGGCTGCGTTCCCTGGTGCTTTGGTGGATGCAGGGATGGATCGGGACCAGGATGCCCGGCCTTTATCCCCTCGCTGCGGGCAGTGCTCCCTGCCGGCCACGGGAGGGTTCACCTGGTGCCAGGGGAGCCGCGCTCCTGCTGCCCGTGCCACGCTGGGTGAGCGCACCTCCTAATCGGGCTCCTCCAGATACTCCAATGGAGGCGCTAGCTTCAGAATTAATTAACTTCACTATCGAAAGCTGAGTCATTTGTCACAATGGTTTTGTCATTAGCTCCCATAATTAAGGAAAGTGTCACAAAACCAAATGTTTCACTTACACAAGCCAGGAGAGGCAAAGCGCAGGAGCGTTCCAACAGCGAGTCCGGGGAGGGGCTCAGCCAGGCACCCCAAATCCCTGCCTTGGCACCCCAAATCCCGGTCCCGGGCACCCCAAATCCCTGTCCTGGGCACCCCAAACCCCTGTCCTGGGCACCCCAAATCCTTGTCCTGGCACCCCAAATCCCAGTCCCGGGCACCCCAAACCCCTGCCCTGGGCACCCCAAACCCCTGCCCTGGGCTGGGGCTCGGGGGCACCCCAGGGCTGCCCAGCCCGGAGGAGATGCCAGGGGGTGCCCGCAGTGCCAGGGCTGGCTGAGCCGGGCATTTTCCCACTCCCAGGTGAATTGGGGTGTCCCTGGTGACCATCAGCCGCATGGGGTGGCAGAGACGAGGACATTTTGCTGGAAGCTTGGCTAACGTCCCCAAAAACGGGGGGAGAAGCCGCTCCCGACGCACTCACCCGGTTCCACACGGACACGAGCGGATTTCCTCGATGGGGACGGGCAGGGACGTGCAGGCTCTGCGGGGCTGGGCAGAGACTGGGGTGCACCGGGCCAGGAGCCCCCGCAGCCCCTGCGGGTACCAGGGGATCCCGGAGGGTCCCGACCCCTCTGCCCAACGCCCAGCGCTGCAGCCGCCCGGTGCCCGCAGCCCTGTGCCCACAGCCGTGCCCAGTGCGGTGCCCGCAGCCCTGTGCCCACAGCCCAGCCCGGTGCGGTGCCCGCAGCCCTGTGCCCACAGCCGTGCCCGGTGCCCACAGCCGTGCCCGGTGCCCCCAACCCCGCCCGGCTCCAGGGGCTGCAGCTGCTGCTCTGGGGGAGCCTCTCCGGCAGCTTTAGTAACTCATCAGCGGGCAATTAGCTGACAATTAACCCTCTGTCCCCTCCCCTCCGTGCCCCTTTCGGTGCCGCCTCCTCTCTGGGGCAGCTGCGCTCACTGACCGCTCCGGCCGCACAGCCGCGCAGGTTTTTGACCAAACCCCTGAAAATTCCCGGCATTTCCTGCTGTGCGGCCCCCCAGGACACCCCAACCCCACAGACCCCGGCTCGTGGGCAAAGGAAGCCAAGCTCTCAGGGTTTCTTTAAAATTAAATATTTTATTTTTTCATACATGCAGCAAATTGAATCAAGAGTATATGCCCATCTAAAAGGAGGTCTTCATGAGAACCGTTTGACAACACACAGCAGGTAGTCTAGGATGTAGAAAAGTCATCAAATACTTGCAGGTGAAATCAAATTCACAAACACAAACTCATCAACAATAAACATTTTCTCTTTTTTTTATTATTTTTTAATTTTTTTTCCCTCCTTGTTTTAACTGCCACTTTGAATGTGATCGGAAATAAAGAGCTCAGGCGACACTCCCATGCATGGAGCCAGAGGCTGTGCTCACACAGCTGCTCCTGCCCCAGGGCAGTGGGAGCAGGTCTGGGCACCCTGCAGGTGCCATCCCAGCAATCCCAGGTGCAATCCCACCCTGCAGGTGCCATCCCAGCCTCTGGCACGGCCCATCCGTGTCCTGTGCCCCAATGCCCTGGGCTCCTCCCGGGGTCACAGCTCTGGGACTCACAACCACCGGAGCACAGCACTGCCCTGCACTCACCTCCCCCTGCTGCCTGGGCTGGCCACTGCACAAACCCCCATTTATTCATTCATTAAATGGATTAATCAATCGATAGCTGCTTTGGTGATGCTCTCATGACGAGCAGGCTGCTCAGAGCCCCGGCAGGGCACACAGGCACAGCAGCAGCAGCAGCTCCCAGCCAGAACCAGTGGAGCTGTACCAGGAACAGGAGCTGGAGCTGCCCCAGAGCAGCAGCCAAGGGCTCAGCACAGCCCAGGGGCAGCTCTCTGACCCACCCTGTCCCAGGGAGAGCCTGGGCCCACTTACCTGTAGCACCGGGGAGTAATCCACGAGGGACAAAGCATGTGCCATCCTGTGCCTGTCCTGTCAGCTCAGCCCCTCCTCTGCCCTCCCCGGGGCTCTGGGTGCCCCTGTGCCACAGGAGACCCCTGCATCCCACTGAATGCAGAGCTGAGGCCCCCTCCCCTGCCATCCCACTGAATGCAGAGCTGGGGGCCCTCCCCTGCATCCCACTGAATGCAGAGCTGAGGCCCCCTCCCCTGCATCCCACTGAATGCAGAGCTGGGGGCCCTCCCCTGCATCCCACTGAATGCAGAGCTGAGGCCCCCTCCCCTGCCATCCCACTGAATGCAGAGCTGGGGGCCCTCCCCTGCATCCCACTGAATGCAGAGCTGGGGGCCCTCCCCTGCCATCCCACTGAATGCAGAGCTGAGGCCCCCTCCCCTGCATCCCACTGAATGCAGAGCTGAGGCCCCCTCCCCTGCCATCCCACTGAATGCAGAGCTGGGGGCCCTCCCCTGCATCCCACTGAATGCAGAGCTGGGGGCCCTCCCCTGCATCCCACTGAATGCAGAGCTGAGGCCCCCTCCCCTGCATCCCACTGAATGCAGAGCTGGGGGCCCTCCCCTGCATCCCACTGAATGCAGAGCTGAGGCCCCCTCCCCTGCCATCCCACTGAATGCAGAGCTGAGGCCCCCTCCCCTGCCATCCCACTGAATGCAGAGCTGGGGGCCCTCCCCTGCATCCCACTGAATGCAGAGCTGAGGCCCCCTCCCCTGCATCCCACTGAATGCAGAGCTGGGGGCCCTCCCCTGCATCCCACTGAATGCAGAGCTGGGGGCCCTCCCCTGCATCCCTTGCAGCTCCAGGTAGGGATTCCTTGGGCTGTCTCCACACACCTGAGGAGCACCTGGGCACTGGGCACCTGGGCTCTCCTGAGGCTCTGAGCATCCTCCCAGAGCTCTGCCTTCCCCATCCAACTGTGAGGATTAAATCATCAAATGACATAAAGAGTGACTCAAGTCCTGTCACTCTGCCCTTCCTTGGAGCAGTTCACACAGATCTGAGTGTCTGTGCAGGGCCAGCACATCCCACTGTACATCCCCCCACAGAAGATACAGGACATGTGGAAGTCTTGCAATAACTGTGGCAAGCAGCAGAATGGACAGCATCAGGAATGCTCAAGGTATGAGTCCTGAGAGGGGGACCTGGCACTGGCCCAGCTCGCCCTGGAGCGTGGATCTCAATCCCAAACTGCCTCCAAAGCTGCCTGGTGCCACCTCCCTGGTGCCACCTCCCTGGTGCCACGTCCCAGCCTCCCTGCAGGTCCCCTCCGAGCCACCTGCTCTGCTCAGCATCCAGCAGCGCCTGCTCCATGCACCAGTGTCACCCCAACAGACACAGCAGCTCCAGACACAAAGGTGTGACGGCCCCACAGCTGCTCCTGCACTGTGCCCCTCAGCCCCGAGACCTCCCAGCACATCCTGGGGGCACCCTCAGAGCCAAAGGTATGGAAATGAAGAACACTGACCACTGAAGTGATACAGATGCTGCAGCGGCAGCAGCAGGTTTGGAGTCACAGGAACACACATGCTCCGACGCAGCTGTGGTCTGCAGAGGATGGCCCATGTCCTCAGGGTGTGCCAGCCGGCCCCAGCCCCGACCCCTGGGCCTCGCCTGCTGCAGAGCCCCTCGTGAACCCCCTCCTGGATCTGGCACAATTTGCAGTTTTTCTGGGTTTGTTTGGGTTCCTCCAGCCCAGGGCAGGACCCGAGGCCACAGGCTCAGCCCTCACCCCCAGCAGGCCCAGGACAGTGCCCGTGGCTGGGTGACAGGGAGGGGACACTCATCCCCTGACAGCGCCTCAGCTGCTGGCAGCCTCTAGTTCTCAAGGAATCATTAAAAGAAAAAAATAATTTCCAAAGCTCGAGTTTCATGTTTATAAAAGATCTACAAACTAGAATTTCCTGTGTAGAATTCCTCATGATTGATAAAATCCCCCCCATCTCCCTGGGGCCTGGAGGAATGGCTGCATGCAGCAGAACCAGGGCTGGCTCAGAAAACCCTCCTGGGATTCTGCAAACCACTGTGGGCCGTGAGGGGAGCGGGGTGACAGGGCCTGGGGGATGCTCACCTGGGGCCCAGCCTCTGCCAACCCAACAGTCAGCCAGGCTCACCCACTGGCTGGCCACCGATGGGCAGTGCTCGCCTGTTCCTGCCCTCCTCTGCCTGCTCCTGCCTCTTCCTGCCCTCCTCTCCCTGTTCCTGCCTGTTCCTGCCTTCCTCTGCCTGTTCCTGCCCTCCTCTGCCTTCTCCTGCTCTCCTCTGCCTGCTCCTGCCCTCCTCTGCCTTCTCCTGCCCTCCTCTGCTTGCTCCTGCCTGTTCCTGCCCTCCTCTGCCTGCTCCTGCCTGTTCCTGCCTTCCTCTCCCTGTTCCTGCCTGCTCCTGCCCTCCTCTGCCTGCTCCTGCCTCTTCCTGCCTTCCTCTCCCTGTTCCTGCCTGTTCCTGCCTTCCTCTGCCTCTTCCTGCCTTCCTCTCCCTGTTCCTGCCTGTTCCTGCCTTCCTCTGCCTGTTCCTGCCCTCCTCTGCCTTCTCCTGCTCTCCTCTGCTTGCTCCTGCCTGTTCCTGCCCTCCTCTGCCTGCTCCTGCCCTCCTCTGCCTTCTCCTGCCCTCCTCTGCTTGCTCCTGCCTGTTCCTGCCCTCCTCTCCCTGTTCCTGCCTGTTCCTGCCCTCCTCTGCTTGCTCCTGCCTGTTCCTGCCCTCCTCTCCCTGTTCCTGCCTGTTCCTGCCTTCCTCTGCCTGTTCCTGCCCTCCTCTGCCTTCTCCTGCTCTCCTCTGCCTGCTCCTGCCCTCCTCTGCCTTTTCCTGCCCTCCTCTGCTTGCTCCTGCCTGTTCCTGCCTTCCTCTCCCTGCTCCTGCCTCTTCCTGCCTTCCTCTGCCTGCTCCTGCCCTCCTCTCCCTGTTCCTGCCCTCCTCTGCCTTCTCCTGCCCTCCTCTGCCTTCTCCTGCCCTCCTCTGCTTGCTCCTGCCTGTTCCTACTCTCCTCTCCCTGCTCCTGCCTGCTCCTGCCTTCCTCTCCCTGCTCCTGCCTGTTTCTGTCTGCTCCTGCCCTCCTCTGCCTGCTCCTGCCTTCTTTTGCCTGTATCCTGCCCTCTTCTCCTGGTTTCTGCCCTCCTCTGCCTACTCCTGCCCTCCTCTTCCTGCTCCTGCCTGCTCCTTCCTGGTCCTGCCTGTATCCTGCCCTCTTCTCCTGGTTTCTGCCCTCCTCTGCCTGCTCCTGCCCATTCCTGTCTGTTCCTGCCCTCCTCTGCCTGCTGCCTGCTCCTGCCCTTGTCTCCCTGCTCCTGCCTGCTCCTGCTCTTTTCTCCCTGCCCCGTCTCTCCTGCCCCTCCTGCCCCTCCCTGCTGTCCTCTCCTGCCCTCACCTGCCCACCCCTGCCTTCTCCCTCCTGTCCGTGCTCCTCCTTCCTGCTCCCGCCTGCCCCTGCCCTCCCGCACGCCACAGCTCTGCCTCACAAGCAGCTGCTGGAATTGTCTCTTCTCACTCAGAATTTTAAAAAATTATTACTGACTAAAACCCCCAGGAATTTGGTGGGAATCAGGGAAATCAAGATGTCTGTGAAATCCATGGGTTCGGAGCCTGGAAGAGAATAGCAGAGGGTGGAAAGTAGAAAAGTTTCCGTTATAAATAGCCCTCAGTGCAGCCCTTTGGTCTTGGGCGTGTTTTCAGTCGGTAAATTGTAAACCAAGAATATAAATGTGTTTTGTTTTGGCAGAATATTAATATCCTTTACAGAGCTGTTACATCTCAACAGCGTCTGTGAAAGATTTATGCGAGTGCTGACAGAGCGTATCAAAACTGCAAACTGTTCCAGATGTTACAAAAACCCCCCACCTCTCACTTAGAAAAAGGTTTGCTCTGATTTACAAGAACTGGCACGGGCGTGGTTGGGACTCGCGATGCCCGAGGCGGGGAAGGCAGGTGGTGGGAGCTGGGCTGACCCTATGGACAATGCATTGGGAAATAGAGGTCTAGAAGCAGATTTTTCCACACTGATCAAATATATCCATGTCTTGAACAAAAGGCTCCTCTAAGACAAGCTCACACTCATCGCAAGCTTCAGCACAACGCTTTAAGCGATCAACCATGCTTAGCATTCCACAGCAACGCTTTGGGACTAGCTGGGCCACCGGGATCTCAGCGTCCCGCTGCGAAAATTACAGAGACCGTAGCGGTTTGGTATATTTCTGTTTAAAAACTCTATTAGTCACCACCAACTATAGTTCCTAGAAGTATCACTGACCGGTAACTGGCACCCCGGACACTCCGGCTAGGGAAGCCAAGCTAGCGAGTGGCACGGACACGGAGAGGCTCCGGGGAGAAGCGGCCGGCGTGTTGGGCGGGAGGGGACGTGTGTCTGCACTGCTAATCCCGGAAGACTAGTGTCCTATGTACAGGGCCACCTGGCGAGGGACAGCGAGGACGGGGCTGCGCCGCGACTACACGTTAATGACAAACTCGGGGTTGGTGTAGGAGAAGCCAGCAAACTCGTTCTGGTCCAAGTTCATGATGAAGAGTTTGTCCGTGGGCGTCAGCTCCACCGGCTGCCGGGTGAACTCTTTGTCGAAGTTGGAAGTGTCGCGTTTGTCCTTCTGTTAAACGGAAAGCACAGAGTTAAACTGGGGAAGGAGCGAGCCACCAGAGGGGACAGCACCACCAGAGGGGACAGCACCACCACAGGTGACAGCACCGGGGCTGTCCCCAGGGAGCTGCACTGTCCCAGCACTCCACACTCCACGCTGTTTCTCAAGCTGCCCCCGAGCAGGAACTCACAGCCCTGTAGAACAGAAGCAGCCCCGCACCAGCAGCAGGAAGAGGAGAACACCAGTTTAACACGCCTGAAACACACGAGCAGGACACAGAGGGACAGGTGAGAGCCGTGGTGGGAAGGGAGCATCCCTCCTGTCCTGTTTGCTGAGGGAGAGAGAGAGCACGGAGCAGATCTCAGCATGCAGAACCCCCACTGCAACCAGAGCCCGGCACTGCACAGGAGGAAGGAGCCTGG